CTCCCGGGTTCAGGCAATTCTCCTGCCCCAGCCTCCTGAGTAGCTGGGATTACAGGCACGCGCCACCATGCCCAGCTGATTTTTTGTATTTTTAGTAGAGACGGGGTTTCACCATGGTGACCAGGATGGTCTCCATCTTTTGACCTCGTGATCCACCCGCCTCGGCCTCCCAAAGTGCTGGGATAACAGGCTTGAGCCACCGCGCCCGGCCTATTTTATTTTTTTGAAATGGAGTCTCCCTCTGGTTGACTTCACTTTTTATAACTGGTTGCTTTGCGCTACAACTAAACAATTTTTTATGCCTATAATAACAGTAATTATTTAAATAAGACTATTCCACATGAAATAATAACATGCATAAATTTTAGCATTTTTATGTCCTAGGACATTTTTTTAGGTCCCACTTTAAAACTTGGGTAAAAGATACAAGATCTCTCTTCTAATGTCCAAATTTTATCTTGATAAAATTATCTTACTTTCAAAAAGTATTTTGACTTAATAATATAAATTGAAGAAAACCTTAGGATATTAAAGAAACAAAAGTTCCTAGATATTTGTTGACATTTAATTAAAAAATTACTAGTCATGAATTTCTGAGTAGTATATTTACAATAATATTATTTCCAGTTGTGTTTGTTCCCTTTTTAATTTCAATTTGATGAAGAAATAGGATTTTCATTTAACTAAATTTGAGAATTTGAGCATTATCATATTTTATTATGGCAGTAAAAGCAAGACACATTATATGTCCTTGCAACTTAGTTTGGTGATTTGATAGCTGTGAATTTACTTGGCCAGTTTTATGTAGTATTAGACCCTCTACTAATCAATACTTTGGCAAAAATTAAAAATATCATCAAAATAACAAACATTTGTTTTATCAGATAAGAACTGTCTAAAAGTAAGAAAAATATCTCCATACTCACATTTTTAAAATAAAATTTAATTTTCATAACTTTTAAAATAAGTTATAAGTGATTGTTAAATATAACAATAATGATATTTTACTTATCAGATTTGAATATAAATTATCTTTTTTAAAATCTTGACTTCATAAGTATTTTACAAAATCATCTTCATTGTCTTAAGTTTCATTAATGATTACAATTTGGTTACACTTTCAAATGACTAACAACATGGGGTCACAAGATTGTAGCTGGGCAAATATTCTCATTCAGTTTATAATACGCAGAATATATCAAGGTCTTAAATATATTTTTCAGGCTAGAAAATCATTTTTTCACCACAAAGTTGCATAACATGGTGGTTAGCTATACGCTTGATTAAAAAAATACAAGTGGCTTTCCCTTATTGTTTTCCAAGCAATTAAGAGACTCACAGCTAAAACTGTGCTAGATACTGACTTGTTCATTTTGCAACTGACAAAAATCAAAGCAGCAGCAATGCAAGAAGTTTGTATTTGTACCTTTTTGTGCACATTATTGCATTTTGGCATAGTCTCAGACATAAAAGAAAAAAAATCAAGATTTCTCAAAGTTTTGAAAGCGGCTTCTAAACATATCAATAAAGATATGACAAAAATAAACTGTTCTTAAAACAATGAGTATGCATTTTAAAAATAAGTGGTATGTAGAAATTAATGAAATTTCCATGTGACTAATTCAGTCTATATTTATATATGGTGCAAATGTATAAATTACAATTTAGGGAAGCGAAGTACGAAATACCATTTCATACTTCAAAATCATTTAAAAATCATTCAGGATATAACAAATGTAGACTTCTCTATAATCATTTATTAAGTAAGCTATTGAATCATTTGAGCTATATGTCTACCTGAACTAATTTAAGTTCTAACAATGTATTCCTGTATTTAACTCGTGTCCATTATCAGTATTATAATGCTAGTATAGTCTCTTACCTTTTTATTCTTAGTCTTTTTCTTTTTCCTTTGTTTACTCTTAACCTAGTAGGTAAGAAATCATTTATTAAATACATAATTCAAACTGCACAAAGGGTTATTTTGCAAAATATATTTCCTCTAACCACTGAGATCTTTTGTTTTCTAATATTATAGATATTTCTTTCTAGAGTCTATGGAAACAATTATTTTTGTTTTTATCATTTTTATTTTAATCCTACTCTTCTGTCCTTACATAATCACTGATGTATAAAGGAACAACACAATGTCAGTAAGTAGGTTACTGATAAAAGTTCACAGATACTCACTTACACACATGGATATGAGTAACAAAGAGGAAGGCGCTTTTTAAAAGCAACATATTCATGCCCATGAGATTAAAAAAAAAGGTCTAAGAAGAATTTAGTGACTATATTATAACCATTACCACTTATTTGTAAAGAAATATGGAGATTCCATTTTGGATAATTTTCATTCTACCTCTGCAAATGGTGTTGAAATATCCCACTTTTCCTTTCTTTCCTTTCTATTTTACACTATACTTTCTTCTACTTTCCAATACCTTCCCACATCCACTTGGATCGGGATTAAAACAAACATATTATAATCTAGCATAATGCCTGTCATGTAAGTGTTTAATAAATGGTAGCAAAATAAATGGTTATGGCAGGAAAGATTATGGAAGGAAGTACTGAGGAAAGGACCATTCCAATTTAAGCTCTGTATAAACACTATGATAAATATAAACTAAAATTATCTGGGATGCTTTAAATATAGCACATGCAACAAAGTAAAGGCCCAGAATAAGTTCTTCTAATTCAAATATTAATGAAAGCTTATACTTCCTGGAGATCTTTAAGAGATTCTGTTGAAGATTCACTGGGTATTGAGGCCCCATCTTTATTAATTTCTGCAAACTGTATTTCAGGGCTTGATTTCACATTTATATTGTATTCCATGATAGGTGGACTTAGTTCTTCTTCCTCGTTCTGTAACTCTTCTATTTCAATACCTAAACATTAAAGGCAAAATTCTCAAAATCTAGATGAAATAATTTCAGTTTCTTATCAATATTATAAATAATGTTTGCTCAAAAAAGCAACATTCCCAAAATAGAAATAAAAGATATCTTACTCTTTTCAATTACCCAATGAAAATGTGATGTTCATTTATCAATTACCAAATTGCCAAACAGCCTGGAACCTAAATGCCATGTTACCTACTGGTATCTTAAGTAGACTCTAGATATGGGATACTCCAGAACTTAAGTAGACTCTAAATACTAACTTTTTGCATGTTCTGACCTTGGTCCTATTGATACTGCAACTAGTATTATTTTAGCACATATATCTGAAATATAAAGAAGAAACTAGAAGATCTACTTTTTATTTTTTCTTTATTTTTCATAAGAGGGATGTGAGCCCCCTATTACGTAACCTTTTCTTTGACACGTTGCTCCTTGATATTGCCCCAGAGACTCAGTCTCAAAACTTGTAGACTTTGTCTGACTGGTCTCAGATAGTCTAACAACATTTTACCCCAAACAAATACTTGGTGTTTTTTCTTAAGCATAATTTTAATCGAAGGATATTAATTACACTTAAAAAAACAATAGCACAAAAATGGAAATAAAAAAATTACAACTCACCACCTGGCAAAAAAGTATATAGCTATAAACAATAGACAGACTAAATAAAATTATACACGCTAAATGTCAAACAGATAGGGAAAACGGGAAGGTATTTTTTCCTGCTGAAGTTTCTGTGAGTAAAACAGGAGAACATCCTTTTTGGGAAAATCCTGGAGCACATGCACTAAGGCCAGGGCAGAATAAAGATCTTTCTCCATTCAGCAGACCAGTAGTGACTTGACCACATAATTTTCCAAATTCTTAACAGTTATAGTTTATCTGATCAAATAAAAATTCCACAGATACCCCTTGTTAAAAAGTCACTTACATATTTTATTTTTAAATATACTTACACTGACTGCCCGTTATTGACTGTAGAGCAATTCCTATAATACATAAAAAAAAATTTTAGATGTATAATTACAAATGCAACAAATGAATGTCTGGCTAGGATTAAGAAAAGGCAGAATATTTTTATATTGCACCAATTTATCCTGTAAGCAGCTGGAAAAATAACCAGTTTTGCTCATCAGTCCAGTTTAGACAAGGCACAATCTTTAGATTATTATATAAAGGTTATAAACTCATGATTAGAGAAAAAAAAGAGTAAACAAACAAAAATGTAGTATCACAGATAAAGCCTAGAACACAAACACTTTAAACCAAGCAACAAATACTTGTGTTTACAGTCCTATGCCATGAAATAATAGTTAATTATACAGCAAACCTCCACTGAAAGTTGGGGCCTTTTTGGCAATCTGATTTATCCAGGTTAGCACTTGTTCTCCTTGCCCATTAATATTTATTGAGCACCTACAGTCTATATCAGGCTGTGTTAAGATCTAGAGATTGAATGGTGAAGGAAAAAAGACAATCTTCATGGAGATTTAGTGGGATGATGTATGTTAATCAAATTACCAGATATCCAAATGAAAAGCAACTATAATAGCTAAGGAAAGAAATATAAGATTCTAAGAAAGCCTTTATTAAAGGCCAATAAGCTCTTCAGACTACTTGAGTAAAAGCTGTTTAAAATGCTTTGCATTGAATGAGTACTCAAAACTCTTTCTCAAATAATTACTCTATTCTCATGAATTTTTGTTATTTAAAATCCTAATAAATATATTTTTTAAAACCCAAATTTGTAAGTCAAAGATTCTTGCCTGACTTTCTTATATATCAAACTGTGTCCTTTTCTTTCATGCTTATATTATGCAAGAAAACAAAGGTATTCCAGAGCCTTGGTAAATACCAGGACTGAAATTGGACATAATAATTATCTCTAAAGAAAATCTGGACCAGATCACTAGAAACGTGTAAAGTTGTATGTTTACATAGCATCTTCAGTTGTTCACTAGGCTGTAAATAACTTGGGACCAGGAAGTTCTCTGAATAGCATAGCAAGGGTTTCAGTGATGTTGACATGCCTTGAACTCTGCTTTCCAAGAGAATAGCTGAGAAGGGATCCTGAGATATGGGAGAGGAAGTCTGAAGTCTTTTCCATATCAACAGACAAGTTGGGGTATGGCCATTGCTGAATACAGACACTTGCATGAATGTTATCTGATTTTAAAAATTACCTACAGCCAATGAATAGCTGCTAAAATTGTAAACTAAACAAGGTTCTGCTAAAAAGGAGAAAAAACATATCCACTGTGTCTAAAAGGACATCTTTGAAACCACATAGTACCTATCTGTGATGGTTTTAGACTTTACTAATTTTGGAGAATAAAACACCACTTAAAGTGATACAACTCTACTTAAAAGTCTTCAATGATTTATTTCTGAAAAATGCAAACTCCTCAATGTGACTAAAAAAATCCTCTTGAATGTATTCTATGAGCTCTTTCGTACTTTAATCTTAATAATGCCAACCTTTTTTACTTTGCTGCAGTATATTTTTGTTTCTATACCTTTATTTTTATTTCTCTCTGAAACATTCTTCTCCTTCGTCTTCACTTGGCTAACATCTGCATGCCATTAATAATTCTTTAACTATTATATTCTCCAGAAAGCTTTTTTGGACTCCTTTAGCCTAGGATTTCCCATGGTATTCTGGAAACATCTCTAGCACTATAATTTCTATTACCTTCCTAATGCGTCCATTCTCCCAAAAATGTGAGCTCACTGACTCTCTTGCCCTTTGCACTGTGCCTGGCCCAGAGCAGACATTCAGTGGAAGTTTATTTGCTGAAGTAAATAATCATTTAGTACCTTGTTGATAGCAGGATAACATCCTCTGTATGATTTCTGGTACGGGTATGCCTAGGTAGATGGACAGCTGATGGTAATCAAGGGAGATATTCTCAATGGGATTCTCCTTCACTTTATCAATATCTTCTTGCTTCATCCCAAGGCGCAGAAGAATATCTGAAACTTTTTTCCAAATTGAATTGAATTGTGACTCAGTGAGACCATTCATCAAAATCTCACTAAGGAGGATATCCCTGTATTTGCACAGTCTCAGGATGTCTGCAGATTTAGAGATGTCAGAAGATGGCGGTTCCATATTCCATCCTTTTTTGGGTGCAGGGAACACATTCAAATGCTTTATGAGAGCTAGTAGGAGGCATAAGTCAAACTGTTTGGATTGTGGTAACTCCTTGTTTGGAGGATAAAGCAGATGCCATGATCCACCCAAAGGATGATTGGTCCAGAGATGGTTGTAGTAAGATTCCAGCACATTCTTGTGTATAAGAAGCTCTTTTCTCAAAAGAGGGGGTGGCATAGCCTCATCAAATATTTGCCGAACAATGTCAGTACCAGAAATAATAATTATATGAAGCAGATGATAGAAATAATTATAATCAAGCTTGAAGATAGGCATTTCATCTGAAAATAAATTTTGGGAAGTCAAGACATTCCACATTAATGCTCTTTTTCTATTTGGTCTCTCATATTTTATCCTTAGCTCCCGTAGGATAAAAACTGTTCCAAAAGAATGAAGCACAGTACACTGCTTTGCTACAACCAGTGCTCAATAAGCATGCTGCTTTCTCTCTGTCAAAAAATCTAAACAGAAACATGTTCCCAAGCAAAAGTAATCAAAGACTAATCACCACAGAAGTCTTTCAACCATCCAAGGTTTTGTTCAAGTAAATGATCTTTGGCAACAAAATAGCATCGAAGTATTAGATCTTTAAAAATTCTGAAATTTGCCAAGGCTGCTAATTGTCAACATTTAATTACGCTTTACTTAATCAATTATACTTTATCCTAATCAGCACTGTCCAACAGAACGTGGTGTGATAAAATGTTTTATATTTGCACTAATAGTCGTGGAATACTGGAAATGCTGCTTGGGTGCTTGGGTGACTAAGAAACTGAATTTTAAATTTAATTTTAATTAACTTAAATTTAAGTAGCCATATATAGCTAGGGACTACTATACTAGATAGCTCAGATCTATATCAAGAAATGCAAAAAAATCTAGTTCCTTGCTACTCAGGTAGCCCAGAGACCAGCAGCATCAGCATCCACCTGAGAGCCTGTTATAAAAGCACAGTCTCAGGCCCCACTGCAGACCTACTGAACTGAAATCGGCATTTTAACAAAATCAAATATATGTATAATGTTTGAGAAACCCTGACTTAATAAATGTCATCTTCTTACCCCTTCAAAAAAAGATAATAAAGTAGATATTTCATCAATAATACGGAATAAGGCATGAAACTGAACTATTTGGTATTTTCCTGTTTTAATAGTGATTTCAAAGGAGAAAAGTAGGCTGAGGTGAATTAGAAAGTACTAATAATTTGATATATGATGGCATTTGGCTTTTGTATGTATATCAAAATATGTATCTGTCACATAATACAACTTTATTATTTTATCCTTCAAGATTCTATGTTTCAAGAGATTTTTTAAATTAACATTTTTGCTTGAAATATTTGATATACACTGGGGGGGGGGGCAAAGTTAAAAAGCAAATGACACAGGGAGCTTCCTTTGGGTTGCCAAATAAGAAGTTGGCTGGACTGCCACCAAACTATTCTTTCATGAGCCCAGGGTCCCTTAATTAAAGTCTTCAGGTTCTGGGCAGGAAATGTACTAGCACGCTCCTACACCGCTGGCAGCTAAGTTTAGAGTAGTTGGTCTCAAACTCAAAATGTTCATTCCTTTCATGTAAGGGTACTCTAATGCTTGCTCTGTTAAGAAGGAATGCAGCAAGGGAAGGAGGGTTGGTAGAGAACCTCTGCTAGGTCACAATCCCACAGTATAGTTAGAGCTATGCACCAGAACTAGCATGTCTCTCTATAGAATGCCAAGGTAATGTGAGGTCCATACATCTGCTGATCTTCCTGTCTGTGATTTCCAGCCTACACCAAGTGCTGCTTGCTGGTATAAACCCAAGTTCAGTGAATGACAAACGCAGTGAAGATGTGGTAGTTAATGGCATGAAAGTTGACAACAGAAGTAAAAAATTTTAACACAGTTTTCAATGGAAGGCATATAAAAATAAAATAATACCTTTTGCATTAAATTTTAAACTGATCTTCGGTCTTATATCAGTATCAGCTATTTTCAGAGATACCAAGTTTTTATAACTGAAAATGGAAAAAAATTAAGTTACAGTGGAAATAAAATAATGCCAAAGTCAGTCAAGATTTCTAGTATAAGCATGAGTATTTCTAGTATAAGCTGAGTATTTTCATCTTCTACTCCTAGAAATAATTCAAGAAGGAGAAAAATAAATGAACAAATAAAGCCCACCAACAATGACAACCCTACATTGTCACTTTCATTGGAATTATCAAGTAAGCAGTAGTGCCAGATTTCATACTAAAACAATCACATTACAAACTTCCTTGCAAAAAGGTTGTATGGTAGCAGAAAACAAGGAAAGAAAGCTTTGCATTGTAAAACAAAAAAAGCAAGCAAGCAAACAAAAAATAGCAAACTTGTAAGTCCTCCCTGGCCCTCTCTTCATCACATAAATTTTTTGGCAATAACTAATTCCAAGAAAACCCAACTCAACGCCTAGTGATTAAAAACAATAAAGATGCCAAAACAATAAAAATAATTAGAAAAATGAAGTAGCAAAATGTATTAACTAGACTAAGCACTAGGTAAATGTTGCCATTAAACAGACAGCTTCACTTTGAAATGAACCACAGAAAACAAAACAAAAAAATATTGGACAACACCACAATGTAAGCTTAATGAGGAAAGGGATTTTGGTGGTGGTTGTTATTTTTAACTGATTTTATCTCCAGTACCACTATAACACTGTTAGTTACACATTACACTGAAAAAAACGTAAAACTCTTAACAATATGAAGTTACTGGCAAAGATACTGAGTAAAAGGTATCTCCTATACAGTTTGTGGGGAGTGTACATTTGTAAAACCACTCTGGAAAACAATTCAGCAAAAGCTAGTAAAGTTACAGATACACACAGGTGACTTAGAAATTCTACTTTTAGGTATACATTCTGGAAATTTTTCTGCTCATATAGACCTAGAGACACGTACAAGAGAGTTCACTGCAAAACTATGGTTATAGCCAGGAACTAGAAATAAATCTGTCAATGGTAGAATGATTAAATTAGTGAAGAAATAATCTAAAGTTAGAGCAATAAAATGAAAACACTAAAGAATGATAGTAAGAATGGAATCATACCAAACATGATTTAAAAATGCATAAAATCCGGGCGCAGTGGCTCAAGCCTGTAATCCCAGCACTTTGGGAGACTGAGGCGGGTGGATCACGAGGTCAAGAGATCGAGACCATCCTGGTCAACATGGTGAAACCCCGTCTCTACTAAAAATACAAAACATTAGCTGGGCATGGTGGTGCGTGCCTGTA